AAAATATGTTACTTAAAAAAGGGGGGGGGTCTCAGAGCAGACAAAACAGATGCCACAGTCTCCCTGCACTAAAGCCTGTGCACTATCCTCATTGGGAAGAAATTCGCTCAGAGCCTGCTAACTCTGGTTTCACCCACAGTTTCAATCTTCGCAGCAGCTTGGAAGCAGCCAGTTAGAAAATGGGGCCTTAAACAGTAGACACACTGATCTAAGTGTAAAGCGATGACTGGTGGCTGACACGAGGGAGGAGGCTTACAGTTGCACAACTCTGTAACTTTACCAAAAATCACTGCATTGTACACTTAAAATAGGTGACATTTATGGAATGTCAATTATACCTCAATAAAGTCTTTTTAAACAAAAGTTGAAAAAAATGTGCAAAGAAATTTTGAGAATTTGGAAGGCACAGGAGTGTGTATGAGCAAATAACATATCTTCCCTCAGACAAAACCAGGACTGTTTTGTTGGTATTTTTTTAAAAATCCGTTAAAGGAGGAAATCATAAAAATGACATATGCATTCTTCAAACCACTTGTTTTCATTTAAAACATATACATTCATTCAACATTTTTTGATGCAGGGCCAAGACTGTTTCTTTGAGGACATCCCTGGATGAACTCTGCTATGTTTTTCTCAAATAATCACATCTCAACTCCAATTTCCAGTTTCTTTTACATAGAACAAGAAGAACTTAACGTCCACCTGAAAACAAAACCCTCGTTTTTTTTCAAAGTTTTCCCCAGTTTTTTAAAAAGACACCTTTATTGGGTTTTAATTCACCTGTGGTAAAATTCATCCTTTATAGTATACCGTTCCATACGTTTTGACAAATGTGTAAGAAGTTTCTATATGCATGTAACCACTCTCACACAATCCAGATGGAGAAAGTCCCCGTCTTTTGTGGTTCCATCACCCACAGCTCACTCACTCAGCAGCAGCACTTTTAGCATCGCCTTTACCAAGATTTTTTAAACCATTCACCTTAGTTTATATAGGACAGTACCTGTCTTTTGTACTCACATTTCAGCAGTTTATAGCATGTCGAATTGAAGTATGCAATTGCAAGAGCAAATGCGACCCTCCCCAGGAAGTTTGAGGAGGAACCCAGCTGCTTGTTGGTACCATTCAACTCAAGCGTGTGGGGTCCTCCAGTAGCCACTGCCTTCTAGGCCGCAGGGTTCAGTGGGCATCTGTCAGTCTGTTTTACAGAAGAAATGGAGAGGCAGGTTAATGCAAGCGGTCGCCTAAGTGAGGGTCTGTCTTTGCCTGTGCCCACGCCAGCAACTGGATCACTGCCCCGGGCAAACTTTGGTGGACCTGTGATGGTTCCATGTCAGCAGGGGAAAAAGCTGGATTCCATCTGTATCCTGCGCCTCCTGAAGCAAGCATTTTAGAAAGGTTTCCATTCAGAATGGTAACTAAAAGTGTTAGGTTTGGGATGTTTGGAAACGGGCCCGTGCAGTGATCCCGAATCCAGCCCGGGGCAGGTCTATGTTCTTCCCTACCTCACAGGGAAAGTGGGAGCAGTGAGCTGAGTCTGGGGGAGGGAGAGCTGTGTGACATCAGTCACCTGGGACACTACAGGGGG